TTATTTAGTGGTTCGATATATCATCTGTTAATTTCACGGACAACTGACTCGTTCAATCTGAATGTTTGCTAAATGGTATTTATTCAGATCATGAACTTTCAAAGACAATTGTATTGAGACAAAGTTTTCAAAACATTTCAATATAAACACAAGAAGAAAATTTGGAGCGGATATCTTATTGCTATTGTGAGGAGAAGCTGCAGTGTAGACCAAAACATATGGTGCTCAGTGATCATGCAAGTTATTTTTGTTATGAAACATTTCCAATCATAGATATAGGAAGATGTGGTATGAGTGCCAATGAGACAACTCTCCATCCAAGTTACAATTTATAAAAGTAAACCATTATAAGTCATGTTTATTTTAAAAATGCTTGCAGTCTTCCTAATGCAGTATTTAACTCATTTTCTTTACGGTTAATGGCTATTTATTTCCATGAGAATTATAAATTTATATTTTACCAGCATTATACTTTCATAGATATGTCTCTGTTCATACTGATCTAAACTTTTTGGAGTTTATGTTACGATTTATTTGTGGTCGGTTGCGAGTTTTGCATAAAGGTGCACCATTACCGTGTAGTCTTTAGGTCAGTAGTTTCATCTATCATTTCTGACTTACAGCTCAAGTCGACGACCTCATACACTATAAGGAGTTATTAAATACAGTATCATTTAATGTAACCTGCCCTGGAAAGATTGAACATTGACCCAGGCATCGACACCTTTAAGTGTCCAATTTAGCACCTTTATCTTTATAACTTTGATACAATGTAAGAAATACGATAAATGATACATATATATTTACACAATAATTTGCTTTTTAAATATCCAATATCCTGAAGACTTATGTGACTCATTTTTTATACGGTTAATGGCTATTTATTTCCATGAGAATTATAGATTTACATTTCACCAGCATCATACTTTCATACTGTTCAAAACTTTTACGGAGTTTATGTTACGATTTATTTTTGGTCGTTTGCGAGTTTTGTGAAAAGGTGCACCATTACCGTGTCGTCTCTATGTCAGTAGTTTCATCTACCTTTTCTGACTTAAAAGCTCAAGTCGACGACCTCATATCCTGTAGTTAATATCATTTAATGTAACCTGCCCTAGAAAGCTTGAACATTGACCCGAGCATCGACACCTTTAAGTGTCCAATGTAGCACCTTTTTCTTTAACTTTGATACAATGTAAGAAATACGATGAATGATATATAAATATTTACACAATAATTTGCTTTTTGAATATCCAATATCCTCAAGACTTGTGTATTTACCTTATTAAGTGGCCGATATTCAAAAAAAATAAATCTCAGGGTTTAACACCTCAAAAAACCAAGCATGAAAAAGATTTTGATAGGCAATTGAACCAAATCAAAATATAAAAAGAAATACAGTGTCCGATCTGAAGCTTAATGTGTTATAAATATGTTTGATTTAACACAGAAAATAATAATTTGTGGTTTCAATTTCATTAATTATAATCATAGAACCCATGAAGAAACGTCCACGTGAACATTCACCATCAAATATGGGCTAAGACATATATCATTAGATGACTATAAAAAGGACACTGCTCCCATTATGGAAGAGCAGTGTAACCAGTCAATTTTTGTTAATATATCGCCTAGGTGATACACTCAGACAGTGTTTGAGATGCATTTATTCTTTATTAGAAATTTCCTTTATAAAGCGTATTCTTCTCATTTTCCCATCCCTATCAATGACAATAATGATACAAAAAAAAAAGATATATTAGATGCAAAATATGCTAGTACTATGACCGTTGTATTTCATACGATGTGAGAAAACTTTACAAAAATCAAACTCAGGAAAATACTAAGAACACATACAAAAAAAAAGATAAATAAACAAACAGAACATCATTCAAACGCAACACACAAGAATTTTTATTACAGAAAATCTTGAAAGAAGTTATTTTAATAAAGCACTTCGAACGCACGAAATTTATAAAGTGTAATATAATTTACTAGCACGTCTCCGTTGCTGGTGGACTATTAGTCCCTAGGGTATCATCCGCTCCGTAAACTCAGTGCTTTGGTACTGACATGATTTATAACATATTATTTCAAAGTTTTCCGTTGATAAATTAAACCATACTCAGAAACTCAGGTTCCAACTCCCTCAGGCAAAGTTGACCATAGCTGAATTTGCCTATAAATCTTTTTATTTCTTTTTGTTCATACAGATTCTAACGTTTCTACGTAAATAGACATCCCTGGTATTCAAATGTTTGGGTTTTAGCGTTACTGATGACGATAAATCCAGAAAAGCGCGTCGGACGAACATAATTTATAAAGTGTTATTTTTATTGAATATTGTTAAAAAGAGGACAAGAATCTTGTGAACATGGAAACAGAGTGGACGCTGTTACGAGACATAACATTTATTATATACAAAATGTAAAATAGTGTTTATAAATTGTTGTAAAAAATAGAATGTCCTAAGATAGGCTTAGCATTGTACGAATGAGTCTTAGAGTTATTGGTTTATAAGGTTGGAATTTTGTCCTATTATTTCATTCTCTTTTCCACCTTAATCTTACACCTGGATAAGAGTGGTCCTACATTTAGAAGGAATTTCATGATTTAATCACATTCTAAAACATTCTTGAGAATCTGGAGTTTACTTTTCGTTTTTAATGTATTCCTTTTACGAAATGTACTTTGATGAGCTTATTAATAACCACTTGGTCGATGCCACTGCTGGTCGAGGTTTCCTACCCGAAGGTATCACCACCCCAGTACTCAATGCCAGTAGTCAGCACTTCTGGGAATTATCATTGGCATGGTCATATTTACATATTAACTGTTTACAAAACTTTGAATTGTTCGAAATACTAAGGATTAATTAATGCAGGAATATTACCGTAGCTGTATTTTGGCAAAACCTTTTGGAATTTTGGGTCCTCAATGCTCATCAACTTCGTACATTATTTGGCTTTTCCGCTTTTTGTTCGAGCGTCATTGATGATTTTTTGTCGACGATACGCCCTTCTAGCGTGCAAAATTATAAGCCTGGTATGTTTGATGAGTTTATTCACTGCTGTATTGTTTCTAGAAATATGTAATGTATGCCATTGCGAACTATAGTAGATGCTAAAAGATTGTCGGGAAGAAAAAAGTTGAAAATTGTTCATCAAATATAAGGTGGATTCCTGTTTTTAAAGCGTTATCAATCCGCGCTTGTTTTTCAAAACCGTTTTCATTTTTTGTGCATTAAAATTGTATACATTATAATTTTATCGTGTCAATCAAATTTATAAATGTGAATATTTGGTACATTTGGCACACCTGAAACCAATATTATATAATATGATACGTAAAAAGAAATGCACTTTTGGTTATACAACGTTTCAAATTTCTGTATTTAAAAATAAAATTACTCCAAACACTAACAACGTTAAATTGATCAGAAGTTTCATCATATATTATGAATTGTTAGTACTAGAAGAAGGAATTGAAAATGACATGAAATTTGAAATACAAAAATAAGAACTAAATGAGATGTTGAAAACCTAAAAGACATAGATCTAGAGATAAACCAAAGTGTCATCACAATATATCAAGCTCTAAATCGACGTACAATGTAGTATAGAAAGGCTGTGAATAAATGCAATATACTTATCAAATAACTGCCATCAACAAATATACATACATACACACCATAAGCGTATAAACAACTACGCAAACAGGATATTATCCAGCTACTGAAGAAAAAGCACACACTGCTATAACTGCAATAACCTTCTTAGTTTCTAATGGTCAAATCCAACAAAGAATAAATCCTGTATTTAGAGGAGGAACTGCGTAGTCAAAATGCAGATTGTCATACTATTTTTACTCATTGACGACATTGTTTTGTTTTTTGCCATGGCGTTGTCAGTTTTTGGGTACATGGCAAGGAATTCGATTTCAAAGATTTAACATTGTTGTCCGATATCGTTATTTTAAGAAGTACTTGATTATATATAGAGGAAGAAGAACCATCTTTCCAATATTTCATTGTACAAGCAAATTGGAAAATAAATAGATAAAATCCTTTAAGGAAATTAGCTTAAAATATTAATGTATGCATTTACTTGACAAGAGTGGAATGACAATACTAGCCTCGAAAGTCTAACGTTATCATATTCACATTGAGTGTAAAATGGATGTGGATTCGCTCCCTGCTCCGAGAAACGGGAAGACGTCTAACGAATGAGACTTATTTTCTTACTTCAACACGACGGATGCAACTAGAAGAGCAGAAACTGTCTACTCAAGTTGAGCTTCTGAGTTATTTTCTATTTTTGGGAGAGTTTTTAATGCTCAATCTTGATTTTTTTAGTAGTCTTTTAGGGACCCCTGTTGTCTGTTCGTCGTTTTCTTTAGGTCGCGCTGTTGTCTGTTTTCTTCGACTTATTGTATATGATTGCTTCCATGGTATTTAAGAGTAAGAGTAAGATCAAGACCGGTCGTGTGGAGTGACATGTATTTCTGATGACTTACTCAATAAAAGTAAGACTCAGGTATCGGAACAGTTTAAAGCACTATTAATATTTGTATCACATCCTGAAAATATTTGTGAATTAACTCGCTTCCGATACTTACACTTGTCTTTTTATCATCAACTTTGTTGTGTCCGTATAAGAAATTTACAATACATTTGTCTTAAATTCACTTTGCTTTTTGTATGTTTTGTATTTTTTCTTTAACACTATACTAATTCTGTTGGAGTGCAACGAGTTTCTTTATATTACTCTTTCGGTACTACAAGGTCAAAATGTGCAATACTTTATAAGTATGCGCATCATACATGTAGAAATTGAATTACGTCGTAAATAAACAGACTATCATATTTCAGTTGGCAGTGAAGAGTACTGTCGCTTAAATTACATAATATTAAAAATAAATCTTCAAATGTTTGAGGTTTAATCTAATTGTCCCGGGAATTCTTTATCTGTCGACTGCTTCACATACAAAAGGAACAAATATTAAATTTGATACACATATATGTATACTTTATTTAATAACATAATATGACTAGAATTTGTAGATGTCCACGTAATGTGCATACATAGATAAAATAATATAGCACAAGGGAAAATATATATATATGATATATCAGTATACAGTTTTAACATGTTGAATGAGTATGTACACCTCATCTAATGCGTTAAGATTTGACATGCAATTATAATTGAAAGACATATGGCAATACCAGCTGTTTGTGTCCTGAGTATTATTTTCTTATCAGCCGTTTAACAATGTTTGATTTCGCCTTCTTATGTTTAAGTACTGATTGAATAGAATATTCGAATACTTTTGGAATTCCTCTCCTTGACACAGACGAACATTCTGTGAAATGTTCTGCACCAATCTCGTCTGATAATTCTAGTCCTTCAAACTTTGAGATTGTTTCTTCTCCTGTTTGTCCACGACTGTCTGTTTGTGTCGCCACAAGAATGATTGGTTTCTTTCCAGCCACTTTTCTTATCTCTGGCAGCCAAAATGTTCTCACACTGTCAAATGATTCTCGATCTGTAACACTGTAACACACCACAAAAACGTCTGTGTCTTTGTAATTTGAGCATCTTAATTCATTATTCTCATGCTACAATGAAAAATAAATCTATAAACGATCACTTATTCAATATGTACACTCGTCTTATATATCGAATTGTTAAAATATAAATTGACGTTTTAAGTCTGTTTATACTGTTTATACATGTGTTTATTTAAATATGCAAAACTTGAGATTAATGAAAAATAACAATCAATGAATGAAGCGATTACACCATTGAGTTTTCCTATAAGACTGGCTTCAACTGTGCGAAAAAAAGGCATATGCATGATGTTGGATGTGTACTGATTGATATTTTAGTCTTAGATACATGATTTTTTTATAAGTTGTTACTGGTTTGAACTAGCTGTCAGTGAGTAACTGCGAGTACTCTTAGATCTGTACTTAGTGTCTTGAACTAGCTTTCAGTGAGTAACTGCGAGTACTCTTAGATCTGTACTTAGTGTCTTGAACTAACTGTCAGTGAGTAACTGCGAGTACTCTTAGATCTGTACTTAGTGTCTTGAACTAGCTGTCAGTGAGTAACTGTGAGTACTCTTAGATCTGTACTTAGTGTCTTTTTTGTTATGGTGATGTATATATACCCTGATACGTCCGTTCTATGTTTTTGTTAGTTGTTTTTCTGCTTTGTATCGATCTGATGAGTTAAGCTTTTTCAATTGATTTTTATAGTTTTTTCTTAATTTGAACTGTTACACCACTGTCCCATGTTAGGGGGAGGGTTTGGGGCGCAAGCAAACATGTTTAACCCCGCCACATTCTGTATGTGCCTGTCCCAAGTTAGGAGCATGCAATTCAGTGGTTGTCCTTTGTTGCTGTATATCATATTTGCTTTTCGGTCATTGTTTTGTACATAAATTAGGCTGTTAGTTTTCTCGTTTGGCATGTTTTACATTTGTCATTTTAGGGCCTTTTATAGCTGACAATGCTCATTGTTGAAGGCCGTACGGTGACCTATAGTTATTAACTTCTATGTCATTTGGTCTCTGGTGGAGATTTGTCTCATTGGCAATCATACCATAACTTCTTATTTTTTTATTATTAACTGTAAGTGAGAAATTTTCTTTATTTGCAGAATGAAGCAAAATATTTTTATTATTTAAAAAATGTCGTACTCTTCCTTGTATTTCCAGATTGCAGCATTTTTTTCGCAACCAAGATTTTTTTAAATACTTCAGTATGAGATACTATAAATTATACAAAAACATATAGTAAATTTACCGAATGAGTAAGCACATATACAAAATGCAGATGTTATTAGATAGGCAAAATGCTCAGAGCAAAATATTTTTAAATCAAAACAGGACGTACTTTTAAATGGTGACGTCAAATTATAGAGAAAGTGAATGTGAAACATGTTTAAAGACAAGAAATGGAATTCTACGGTTTTTTGTATAAACTGTTTAAGTCGCCATAATAAAGCGTAATAAGCACACACAAACTATTTAAAGTCGGGTATACATATAACAATACAACATAAGCTCAATTTGATAAGTCTAAAACTGACAGAACTTTAATTAAAGCATACAAGTTTAATTTCATTACCTGTGTTTGGAAGCAAAGAGCTCAAAAGAACAAGAAAAAGCAAATGTACTAATCTTTAATGTATTGTACATAGAATAGAAAAATTCATAAATTTTGGTTGATTTCGGAGAAAGCATTTTGTCATATTCCATGCGTGGTACAGACTGTTTGCAAAATGGTGGATTGAACATAATTTGTCAATTTTGTCATAAGTTTGCTCGAAGTAACACTATTATCTTAAAAGGTAACAATCCGACTTCAACGGAAATTTAATAAGTTCCCGCTAGAAGCAAACAAGAGAAACGCTCTAACTCACTACTTAATTGTCCAGAGTAAACTAAATATTTTCCTTTTCAGTCACAATATCCAAAAATTCCAGTCAACGTCGGTTAAAGATATCAATAACCGAATGCATTTACAAAGATTTTTTAATGTTAAGCATGCGTTTCTCACAATCACGATTTCAACCAACAAGTTAAAAGACTGTCGAAAAATTCAAAGTTATTAAAATTGAAATTTCATACTCAAAATGTAAAATTCCCTAGATCTCCTTTTTGAAGGTGAAACATATAGACCGTATCGCACTTTCCTGTATTAAACTTCACCAGAAACACTAAGATCCAAATGCTTAGATGTATGAATACCTTCTGAAAAAGAGGCGGAAGATACCAAAGGGAGATTCAAAACTCATATGTCGGAGAAGTTTTTGAGCTATACGACAAAAAGGGATCCAGAAAGAATAGCGAAATCAGTGTCACCCTCACTTGGAGGAGAAATATACAAACAGAAAAAGCTTTTTACAGAATACCCATAATTACTTCCTTTAAAAATGCTTACCTCTCCAGTACAATCTGATATACTAACGGTGTAGTTAACTCCTATGAAAGATGCATCTCCTGAATAACTGTCAGATATAGTAGCTACATAGTCTCCTGGAGTAGACTGTCCAATAAAACTCTTTATTATAGAAGACTTCCCCACCATACCATCACCAACGATACAACATTGTATTGTTTGTTCCATCACAGTCAAAACCATAGTAACAATATATAACTATCAATTGTCTCTTTACTCTTTCATTAAACTGTTATACAATTTTATAAGAAAAACTGTAGGAGATGTTTTGTAGTCCGGTTAAATACTGCTTGACTTGCCGCTTCGTCGTATGTAAATGAATAAGTAGGTGTCTACTTTATTTTTGATACAGGTAAAATAGGTTCACAACTTACTTACTGAAAGTATTATCTTCCTTAGTGAACCTTGGAAAGGAGTATTATTGTTGACATTATCAAGCTCTTTGTCCAAACCACTAAGGTAGAAATTTGGTTTTAAAAATCTTTTACATCTTTAAGGCATTTACGTGAAATTAAAACCACAAAAGTATGTGTCCAAAATTGCAAAGTCACTGAAAATAAAACATTTTCCAAAATAACACTAAAAGGATAATTGGTACAAGTAAAATGTGTTTTAACACTTTAAAGTGACACCGGTGACAGGTGACGGTACATTATAATCTGAAACGGGAAAGAAATCGAACGCTGTCAGCATTTTAATTTCACCGAATTATCAATAAAAAAAATATTTCAATTACTGTCGCTGAAGAATTTAAAATTATGACGATATTTGATCTGCTGCAGCTCAATTATATAAATCATTGATGTTTGGTAATATTTCAGACTTAACATTGAGCTACTATGCAAAGGAGAAGGTCCGGTAAGGGCTAATTTTGGCCTAAAATTTGAAGTACATCTGATGAAAGATTTTTGACATTTTTTAAACACCTTAGTGTCTACTTCAGTCGATTCAATTAGTTTATGTAACAGATTTGAATTGATTTGGTCAAACTCAAGCTTAAATATAAAGAATCTTCAAATATGCCACAAAACATCACTTTTCAGGTTGTTTTTGTCTAAAATGGAAGTGGCCGCATTCTTGTTCAGTCTCAACCTTTATATATGTTATGTATTATCATCAAATACAACATATATTTATTTAAATATCAAGACTGAACACAAGTGCGGCCACTACAATTTTAGACAAAAATCGTTTAAAAATTAGCACAAATTCTAAAATTGTGAAGATTTCAGTGATTTTGCATGAATTAATGATGCTAGTACCTGATGCATGTGCATTGTATTGTAAAAAAACAGCCCATATTTATGTAAAAAAATTATTCTACTTTCCACTCCTAATTTCACGAAAGTGTACTATTGTTCGAACAATGTGCATGAATTGGGCTTTTAATACAATCATCTGTACAGTTATATAAAAAAGGAGATGAGGTATGATTGCCAATGAGCCAACTTTCCACCACCAGCGATCAAGGACATGGATGTAAGCAATTATATGACATCTTACAGCCTTAACAATGAGAAAAACCCATACCGTTTAGTAAGCTAGAAGAGGTCACATCATGACAAAATGTGAAAAAAATTCAAACGACAAAACCGACGACCTACTTCATGCTAAAAAAATTAAAAAAAAACGAAAACAAATCGGTAGACAGCAATAAACCAGTGAAATACAGGCCACTACTTGGGACAGGCAAATACAAAATGTTTGGATTAATAAAAAATAAGAAGATGTGGTATGACTGCCAATGAGACCACTTTCCAACAGAGACCAAATGACGTAGACGTATACAACTATAGGTCACCGTATATACGGCCTTCAATAATGAGCAAAACTCATACAGCATAGTAAGCTATAAAAGGCTCAGAAATAAAAAATGTTAAACAATTCAAACGAGAAAACTAACGGCATGAGTTATGTACAAAACAATAAACGATAACAAATACACATGTATGATATACAGCAACAAACGACAACCATTGAGTTGCAGGCTCCTGACTTAAAATAGACAAATAAAAAATATCGGGTGTTAAACATATTTGTGAGCCCTCAACTATCCCATAACCTTGGACAATGGTTGAAGAGCACAGTATAAGAAATACTGTAAAAAATCAGTTGGAAAAGGCTTGAGTCATCAGATACAATGTAGTCACGAAACACAAAAAAACAACTAACAAAAAGACAAAATACACAAAGTACCGATCTAAAAGACACATTTTCCTTAATATGCATGAAATAATTTCGTCTTGAATCAATCAAACAACCAACTAATTAATCGATCAGTAGATTTCTGATCTGAAATAACACATAATTCCGTCCTTCGAGCCGAATGTCATCATTTACAAGGATCAAGGTTCCAGTCCGGCTAGCCTTGTTAAAAAGTGTTGTTTTTGATTTGTCAATACATTTTTCACTTCCTTCCAACGTAATGATAATACAAAGACGAGAACCGAATTCGTGATAATATAAAGGCAAGAAGTTGATATCGTGTTCACATCACGTGTTTCTGTATTAACAGATGGCTTTATCAGCTATGCTCGAAACCAAAAGTATGGAAAGACAAAATATTAAGACATTGGGAAGCAATCAAATTATCAAAACAGAACAATTAAAACTAGTCAAAATTTTGCTTGGGATTTGCAACTATTATAATTTATAAGAGTTACTGTAGACTTACAGTCAATATTTGTCATTTGAGTCCTGCAAGTGACGGAACACTAGCTACTGGATAGATGATACATTTGTCGGCCAACCAATAGTGCAAGTAATACACACACAACTATGAACAATGATGAAACCGACATATGCACATACAAAATACATTCAAGTACGCTTTATACCTAACGTTTGTAAAATCATAAAAAGAGCATCCAAACCAAAAAGGTCGGGGACAGAACAGCAAAAATTGTAAAGTTACTTTTTCGAAGAAAGATAATTGCAACCTTTATCCTTGCACAATTGCGTAAATTATCTAAATAAACTGAAAATGTACAATTTTATCAGTTCAGAGTCATAGCATTTTGGCTACTTGGCTGATGGTACTTTCGTGAAAACAGGAATACGGTGACACATTCAAGATGTATCTGTTAGTATTTTCTTTTACACCTTAGTACAATGTATTACGTTACTATGTAACTACATGCTTTTTTATGTTATATATATTTCAAAAATGACACATCTATTTCACCATCCTTTTGTTGTTAAATTATTATTTTATTTTTTACATTTAAGGAGCTCGTGGCTTTTTGCTATGAAAAGAAACTGTAGGAAAGAATTTCCAAGGAGAAATATTCAGATACATCTATATCAAAATATCACAATCCAAATAAACAGGTTGATTTTCTTTTTATTACAATAATTACTAAAGTGTAGTCATCCGAGACCACTGGTCATCCCGTTTACACAAACAAACTGGATCACCTCAACCGCTGTCAAATATGACAAAAATAGACAAGTTTGTTTCCCTTTAAGTGTGAATGTGACGCAAGATGAAATAATGATATACGTCCAAGTATAATCCGGAACTTTGTTTACTGTCTAGATGCGTCAGCTGACGCAGACCTGCAACCGTTACGAATTCTTTTAAAGAAAATGTTGATAGGGTTATTCAATTGTACAATTTATTGCATAATGAGCATAAGATAAATGTTATTTTATGTGATACTACCAAATGTTTTTTTATACGGATAACTTGAATAAACTATGGGTTGTTACTAGTATGTCACAAAGTCATGATGATGATATAGGAAAGTTTAAATTGCAAAGTTAGTTTAAGCTGTGGTGTTGATGTTTCCTTATGAGTTTTACATCAGTAGTGAAAATAGATGGTCCTAAGTAGTAAATATCTTGGAACTTTATTCGACTGTCATACAAGTGAGAGTTTTATCCTAGCTATAAAACCAGGTTTAATCCACCATTTTCTACATAAGGAAATGCCTGTACCAAGTCAGGAATATGACAGTAGTTTTCCATTCGTTTGAAGTGTTTGAGCTTTTGATTTTGCCATTTGATAAGGGACTTTCCGATTTGAATTTTCCTTGGAGTTCGGTACATTTGTTATTTAACTTTTTTTTTATACTCAACAAAAAAGTTAAGGATCCCCAATTAATATTTTCTATTCAAATAGTATCAAAGTTCCTGAACATCCTGAAGTCGATATTGCAAATAATATCACTTCCTTAAAAATACAGATTTCTGTAATTCGATTTTTGTCCCTTAAATGAGACATTGCATACAAATATGCAGAGTAAATCATTATTCCGTTACAGAAGAGCCATTTTTAACTGTTTGATACTGAAAATGCAAAACGCTAAATTGAAATCACAATATGCAAATTTCAAACATGACCCTCTCATTAAAAAAAACGACTTGAAAAATAGTTTTGATTTTCTATTAAAGAAAATGGTTACTTGAAATGGAGACGTTCCATCTGAATTTGGTGCGTACCACGCTCTCTGCACGTTGCACTACACCCGAATAACTGTTCTACCAAGGAAATATATATCCGAAAAATGAGTTCATTTACATGTAGGTTACCACAAAACACTTTCTGTTTTTGTCATTATATAAAATAAATATTAAGAAAAATAATTAATACAGTGATGGTTTCCCCAAGTTTAATGTAGTGCATGTTTAATTTATCAGGAAAGGTTGTGAAGTGTATACTTAATAACCACAGTACTACAATTCAACTAGTACTGTAAGCTTGTACTAGTCTACTGTAGGCATTACAAATTAGGTTAATCTTTCACTATATGTTTGCATTTATTTATAAGTAGGTATAATTGAATACAAACTTAAATTTGACATGACGCTAAAAAACCCACACATGGATTATTCTTTTCACTCAAAGATGTACTTTAGTAATAACAACAATCAGATTGAAACTCAGGATGAATTCTACTGAAGCAAATCAGTATAAGATCTAGTAGTGCCCCGTCATCGTGGCAGTTATATGTCATTGTTTTCCATAAGACTATTTCCTTTATAAACAAAAGTATTTATTTACGGATAGAAGGTAAACTTGGTACATTGTTTATGTACGGTGATTTTGGAAAAAAAGTTTGTCGCCAAGATTTTACAATGTATTACACAAATATACCTAAAATAGATTATACCCGAGGAAGGCTTTATCATGCAATCAGTACTTGCATTCATTCTGTATCACAAAATGTTCGGGTAGATAAGTATTATCCTGAAACTAGATCAACTCTTATGCATTCATGTGTACATGTATCAGTAAAATCGTTAATGTATAATTGCCGTTATATGAAGACATTTTTGCTGTACGTCCAGTTGCAGATATTTCATGCATGTTCAGGACTTTTTAGCGAAAAGCGAATAGACTCAAACAGAATGGGTTTAGATCATTGTTGAAAAGGAAAGGTTACCTGTAGCTAATAACACCCTTCAGCATTTTAAAATACAAAAGTCATAATATTTTTATTTTTCTTGAAAGACAATTACGAACAAATAAAAGAATCTTTCATTAAGGGCATATGATACAGTAGCAGGAGCAGATAATAACGGATAATTTCGCAACTTTGCTAATGATCACGGAAAATTCATTAAAGTTATTAAATCGGTTGACTGGTACCCGTCCTGTATTTGAGGGCATACTGAATATTTTACGGAGGGAACCTACCTATCAAATCGGTTACGTTAACTTGAAAGCATTTGCAAATAAAAACGAACATGCTGTATATGCAAGCACGCGAAATCTATTGTGGACCCGGGAATTCGAGGCAAATAAAACCGCTGACTTTTTTTGTTATCAACAAGTTTCAATTCATGACAGTAGTTCGTATAACTTTTTGAGGTACGGCGGAAATAGCTGCACGAAGAATTTCATTGCATTGAATGCAGTTTGTTATTTTCATTTATGTTAAGGTACAGCAGGTTATAAATGACAAAAGTTCATTTAAGAACAAAGACCGATACGCTTTTGACATTATCAATAAATATGTATTAGATCAATTAAAGATTGTTTTGAACTGGAGGCAAAGTGCATGTACACACTTAGTAGTTTATATGGGCCGCCGGATATTTGTTCAACTTATTTTGGAAACAATATTTTCAGTTTGACACCTTTCACAAATTTGATTTACTGACTATTAATAAAGCAATAAATTTCAAACCATCAATATAACATTGAACTATTTGATTAATGAGATTTGTGTTTGTTTTGAACACTAGAAATAGCTTTACTTTTAGTACACTTCCTTGGACGGTGTCATACTTAGTGCATTTTACATAACACAGTCCAGTATCAAGTAATTTTACATCATTCATTTTTCAAATTTTTTTTTTTTGGAAAATAGTTATGAATGAATATAACGTATCTAATGTAAAATTATTAATCATACTGCACATGTATTTGTTAAAATAATTACAGGTAACCACACTTGTTTATGACAGTTCTTTCCCTTTCACTGACTTGCACTGACTTGCATACGTGCTATAAGGAGCTGAATTATCCCTTTTGACGAATGATTTGTTTTTTCCTGTTTATTTTTCTCTCCAGTCGTTAATGTTTGAAAACATATCTTTATCTTGTTCATAAATTATCTGTAATATTTGCTGCTGTATGTAAAGTAGCATTCCCGACTGAAAATCGTGTTTAATAATCAAATGACCATGATGACATTCATGTGATATGGTCACAAGAATGTTATCATGTGAGCTCTAATATCTGATAATCATGGACAGTTATCAGTATGATAAAATGTTTAAAATTCACGCAATCCAATGTAAGGTCATTCATTAATTTTCTGGAAAGTCATTTCACAAATTTCGGAATGACCCTTTAATTATTATCTGCAATTATCAGTGAAGGTTGATTAAAGATAACATCTGCATATCAATTGGACATTGGCATGTTTAATTAAAAAAGGGACAATTTTGAAAAAAATAATTGAATAAAAATAATTTCAATTGAACAAATTAGTTTAAAAACATCTTAGTGTACTATTCAATATTCATTTTACTCTATATTTTTTACTCAGTTTTAAATTTTTGTCATTACGATAAATCTTAAGCTTTTTTTACGTTACGCTCTTGAACTCTCCGACTATAAAAACAAACCACAAAGGCATCAAAGGCCAGAGTGTTGATTACAAACCCGTACTGAAAACTGTAGCTTTGTACTTTAATATAATTATCGTTCATCTTAACAAAAATAGCGTACCTATTAGCACATATAATCTTTCTTTAGATAAATGAAAATAAGATAAACAAACAGTGATACAAGTCTAACCACCAATATACAATAAGAATCAACTATTAGAAAAGCTAAGCTAGTCATTGTTCGTGCTTCAGGGCAAATGATGAAACGGTGGTTCACCTGAGTACACAAGTACACAGGTATATAAATCCTATGACTTTGCAATTTATTTCATTACATCAAAGTAGTCTCACCTGTTCACTTCGCTTGATCAAAGTATTTAACTTTTTACTATGGGTTTAAGTAGGAATATTGTCAGTTGTATAATTGTTGGTGATGGTATGGTAGGAAAAACATGCTTAGCTAAGAAATTTTGTGGACAAGAAATTGCAGATAATTATGTTGCAACCATTATGGATACTTTTACTGGAACAGTATCAGCTTATGGACAAAAATATACAATTAACATCAAAGACACTGCAGGACAGGTAGGTTGATTGTATTTTTTAGGAGGGAGGGATAACTACAGTTTTGTCTTTCTTTCTCTCAATATGCTGACACTCAAAGACGGAAGAAAATTGAGTTAGCGATGATTTTATACAACAATGATTTTAAAAGGCCTTAGCTTGAATCTCTCAAATGTGTACAAAGTTACAGTCTACCTTTCATCTCCAGATTAAAGCCATAAAACTCTTATGTGGTATGTGATGTATGTCTAGGAGTTACTATAAATGAAAAAATCTACAAAAGCATATTTAAAATGGTCCTCTTTATCTGTGAGGAATTTTCAGGGAAAGTTCATTTGCCCCTTAAATGAAAGTTCTTTTTAGCAATACTTAGTATGTCTATGATATCAATATTAAATCTTATTTAATTGGTTTTTCTTACATTTACAGTTTGAAGACTCTGAAATGAGAGAAATGGTTTACAAGGAGTCCAATGTATGTGTCATCTGCTACAGCGTTTTAGACAGGGATTCTATGGAGAGTGTAAAATCACTGTGGGTTCCAGAGATTAAGAACTTTTCCAAGAAAGTGCCTATTGTGCTTGTAGCTACCCAGTCTGATCTCCGAGAGAAGGATAATACTGATCATATAAATAGAGCCGAAGGATTAAAACTTTCCAAGGAATTGGGTATTGAACAATTTGTTGAAACGTCATCTTTTAAGAATGATGGTGTCAAAGAGGCATTTGAAACTGTAGTGAAGGCCTTAGTTATGAACAAGAAGCGTAAAGCAAAATGGCTGAAGCCAGTATTTGGATCTTGAACTCAAAATATAAGTCTCTGCCCGGAGACTTGTACGTACAAAATGAACTTCTGAATACATCAGACTAGGCACATTCGATGAAATTCGAAATGTCCGAGCGCATGATAACCGCACGTATGATGATAGAGATACAAATATAGAAACTTACTATGTCTACCGTGTGACATTGTATGTACAACATCAATGGAAATAGAAGCTATTTTTAAATATAAATTATAAAGATCTTAAGATAAAGACAAAGAAAAACAAAACATATGTAATTAGTAACATGAACAAGCAAATTGTTTTCCAATAAAATAATTTGACAATTTTTTATGTATTGGTTTTGTCATTTGTGATGAATCAGTTAGTAGTTCACCGCAAGTTGAAAGGTGTATTTGTATGAAGACACCCCCTCATTAAGACGTAGTCAATCCATCAAAATATTAATAATACACATAATTAAAAATAAATGTATGTCATAATGACCTTCATAAACAAACATTTTAATGGTCACTTAGCAAATGAAAATAACTTTTTTATATTATATTAATAAACATGATTTATTTATTAGTTGTAATAAGCTTTGAAATAGTTTTTAGTATCTGCGAGTACTCTTTATTTCGGTGCTGTGTGTCTATTGTTTTTATGTTAGTTGTTTTTGTGCCTCGTACCGAACTTTTGAGATAAGCCAATTCCAACTGATTTTTAAAGTTTGTTCTTATGTTGTGCTGTTCACCACTGTCCCAGGTTAGGGGAAGGATTGAGCGCTCACAAACATGTTTAATCCCGCCACATTCTTCATGTGCCTGTCCCAAGTCAGGAGCATGTAGTTCAGTGGTTGTCGTTGGTTCATGTCAGTCATATCTGTTTTTCGTAAATTGTTTTGTTTTAAATTAGGCCGTTAGTTTTTCTCGTATGAATTGTCTCACGTTCACATCCAAAGTTTGAAAGCCAGACTGTTTAAGTATTCGAGGAGCCAAGTGGTTAAAAGGAACCAAAACACAACAAAAACCACATATTCTGTCTGAAGGAATGGAGATTAGGCATATAGGACATAGGTTAATTTTGGGCCGTTTTGAAACTTTAAAACAACTGTACTATAGGGCAATGTTTATAGTACAGTTGTTTTAAAGCTTCAATAAGAATATTAATTTTTTGTCATGTTATTCCTGTGGTTTTTTTTTTCCATTGTCACAAAAGGGTATAGAGATGTAGGGTTCTCCCCGACAGAGAACAATCATAAATGGAATTGTTTGTAGCCAATACGGAAATGTCATTGCGTTGGTTAGCAACATTTTTTCTAGCATATCTTACATGTAAATTTTGGCAGTCACATCACTCTCGAACAAGAAATAAGTGTAGATAGAAAGCATGGGGGTGTTACGAATTGTACAAAGGAAAGTAAAGATGTCATTGAATTCAGGATCATGAACCATAAAGAAATACAGTCTTTTAGCAAAGAGAGTGAAGTTAAACTAGAAAAAAAAACAAAACTTCATCTTCCGCTGACGAATTTAAGCCAGCTAGCATGGAAAGAATATGACATTTGTCTCCCTTTTATATAACAACTTTTATTAGGAACGCGTGTCAGTACCACCTGAATACGTATATTAAGATGTATCAATCATTCAAATTTATCAAATGTTTTGAACTTATAATTTCTGAATGGAATTGTTTGTAGAATACAGGAAGTATTTTTTTCCAGAAACACGTATGATGCGCATCATACTTAGTGCCAGTGGTTTGACAATTTGAACACGTGTGATGCGCATCATACTTAGCACCATTGATTTGACAATTGAAACACGTGTGATGCGCATCATACTTAGTACCAGTGGTTTTACAATTGCCATGATTTTGATCAATTATCATCTACTAGTAATCAATTTTGTTTATTTTGCAAAAACTTGGGTTGCAGTTCTCCGCGACAACGTGGACATTATATTGCTTTAGTTAATTTCTAGTTCAGTCTCTCTTAGCTTCACTTTTTTTTTTATATATCTTTGGTTTGCCAAGCTTTTATCTATGCACAATTCTGGTGATTATAAAACAAGAAATGTGACGGGAAGAGATAAAGTAGCATAAGTTAGGTTTTATATGGAATAGTTGTAACTGTATTGATACATTTAACTTCAAATTTTAATGAAATTGTACAATCTTCGGTTGAAATTAATTATGTATTTTAACTGTTGATTGCATTAACTACGGGTTTCAACACTACTCATATCTCCAAACCTTCCAAAACCATCAATGTTTGATCGTGTATTGTATTACAGCAATACACATTACCCTTAAATGATGCCAGAAAATTGAAATTCTAACGTCAAAAGTCAAAGGAGAAAATGTCAGACGGCATAGGGTAAAGAGGATTATGAAGGATAAGGTCGAGTGGCGAAAATGTTCTCGTCAAGTGTCGTAAACTCCTTTATAGTGATCAGCGGCGGTGAAATATATTCTCCATATATTTATTAAAGGGACAAATCAATTTTTGTCGAGCAAACACTATTTGACGAAAACCTTCGCAGGTTAAAGGACATATTATTTAAAGATTAAAAACATATATATATATTTAGGTTGTAACATGGCATTTTTCATATGAATCCCGATACCATCATGATCTCATGACTACAGACTTCATTTCAGTTTTATATAAGGTCTTACGAAAATATGGAGACTATTGTGCAAATTAATGTGTCCTCACCTCTTTATCATCTATTTCCTCGCAAATTTTTATTCACCATACAGTTGAGCATGAAACGACATGGAAAACTTTATGAAGATGTGGTATATGATTGCCAATTAGACAACTCTCCACCAGACACTAAATGACGTAGAAGTTAACAACTAGAGTCAGTCAAACTTTTAGACAATGCAACAATAAAATATAACCCAATGACCGACAATATAAAAGTAAATATCCTACACATGAGTGTACACAAATAATATAATAGAGTGACGTCTCCAAAAACCACAACGATTAATATTCTGAAGTAATTAATTATTTTTGTATCATGATGATAGAACTCAACCTATTTTGGCGCCGATATATTATATATATCCTCAATTAAGCAAAATGCAGCAAACTTCTGTCTGTGTCGTGTTTTATAATGTGCAAACTTGCATTAAATTATTTTTATGGTATATATAGTATATGTGTGTGTGTGGCAGATATTTAAAAGTAAATTGTAATTCAAAAAAGAGGATAATTCCCCGACTTGTTTTATGTGGAAATGATATGACATGGACCTATTTTACAACTAAGTAGAAATTATTAGTTTGTTAAATTTGAATGATTGATACATCTTAATATACGTATTCAGGTGGTACTGACACGCGTTCCTAATAAAAGTTGTTATATAAAAGGGAGACAAATGTCATATTCTTTCCATGCAAGCTGGCTTAAATTCGTCAGCGGAAGATGAAGTTTGTAGATTTGATTGGTTTTTTTTTCTAGTTTAACTTCACTCTCTTTGCTAAAAGACTGTATTTCTTTATGGTTCATGATCCTGAATTCAATGACATCTTTACTTTCCTTTGTACAATTCGTAACACCCCCATGCTTTCTATCTACACACATTTCTTGTTCGAGAGTGATGGGACTGCCAAAATTTACATGTAAGATATGCTAGAAAAAATATTGCTAACCAACGCAATGACATTTCCGTATTGGCTACAAACAATTCCATTTATGATTGTTCTCTGTCGGGGGGAAACCCTACATCTCTATACCCTTTTGTGACAATGGAAAAAAAACCACAGGAATAACATGACAAAAAATTAATATTCTTATTGTTCACTGCCTTAATCATACAGCCATAAATAAATATTCACACGTACGATTTCATTCATGAGTAGGCATTTTTTTGTTTCATGAAAATAACGCATGCGTGTCAGTTTTTATTATTAACTATTTTTTCTGAAATTTTATTCAAATATATATCAAAGTACTATATTTATACATATGTAGAACGATGAACAATCATTGTAAACCATAATGATATTTTGAAAATATTAATGTTAATATATTCTACAGGTTTTCTTAATTTTTCTTGCCTTTGTTTCTTTCAACCTTTAGTAATTATCCAAATATAGATGTAAGTTTTCGATTTTATTTTGTAACACGTTTACTTGCATTCTGTTATTTCAGTTTCTTTCTATTACAGCATCATTAAAAATTCAGATCTTGATTAAAATAATTATTTAATGACTAAGAGAAAACATGAAAATTGTTACAATACAAATTATTCTACAAAGCCTGACGAATACAGAAAAAAAATTGTGTGGCGCTTAAATTTCTTTAATTTTATTAAATATTAAACCCTTATTTATTATGAGTTGTTATAACGGACAAAGCTTTAATGTTTTCATGTCAATTTAAACAATAATCTAGATTGCGCTGAACCCATCGGCCAGCTATTATTATAGACGTACAACAAGTTCTGGCTAACATTTGTTTTTAAACATGCAAACACAACCAGATTTACTCAAATATTCCCAGATCATCGACGTAAAAACGGTAGCAGAAAATAACTGAAAAAAATATTTATTTCCACTTCAAAGCAAAAAAGTTTTGATACAATGACTTAACAAAATTGAAATTCTTGTTTACTGCTTTGGTTTGAAAACGATGGACGATTAAAATACTTTGGGAGATTTATTATTAAGTCTGCGTAAATCTAGCATAAGAAATCAACATATTTCATAGAGATATGACGTCAGCTAAAATTAAGCGTAATCGGTTTATTTCTATTTTCGTTTTCCAGTTTCTATATTTGAAATAAGAACAGGAATTTTAAGAAGATATCAAATCGGTTTAATTATGATTTGACCTTTCTCAGCTGACATTTCTTGGGTTTCGTATATCCAAGAACAACTATGAAATATATGATCGATGCTGGCAAATACGTAAACACAGAAAATATATCCATTTTCGTCATTAATAACTAAAATGCAGTCACTGATACATGTAAGTTACAAAAACTGTCAATAAGTGTTCATACATCAAAGGAAGATGAAAGAAGAAATGCGCATTTTGTTTTAGGGAGACAAAAAAATTGCTTTACGGAAACCACAAAATTCTCAAAAAGAAAAGTATTCAGAAGTTAATATTGTTAAAATACTACATTTTTGAGTTGAAACGGCCTTCGTTGAATTGAACAGCGTCTCTATTGATCATCATATTTTGCCTTAGTTTGCTTTTTCATTTTGTTGCAGTTAGGCATTTCTTAATTTTTTTTTTTTTTTTTTGTAAATAACCTTTTGTCTTTGACATTTGCCGATATGATTTCTTCCCCTTCATGTATATAATTATTTCTTTTGTCACATTGCTTTGTGTTAGCAGCATGTTTGTCTTAGGCATTGCTGATATATTTATAGATAAGTGTTTCTGTGAAAGGAAGGCGATGTGGTATGGTTACCAACTAGACATTTATCTACCAGAGACAAAAGGGTTGGGAAGAAAACAACAACAGGTCATCGTTCGGTCTTAAAAACAACTAGAAAACCCGTTACCGTACAGCAAGATATATAAAAGGCACCGGCAAGATAACATTTGAAACAATTCAAATGATAAAAAAAAACCAAAAAAACAAAAACAATTTATGACAGAATGCAAACTGCAAAATCCACTTGTTTACTTGGGACATACACAAAAAGAATGTGTCGATGTTTAACCTGGTTGTCCTCTTAAACAGGGACAGTGGAACAGCACAATATAAGGAAAACAAAAAACACTTGTTACAATCAGTGTGAAAGGACTTGAGCCATATATTTTCACTATTTCATTATGATTCATTCGATGTTTGAGAAGGGTGCATTCGTTTAAATCAATAAGAGATAATGCTACTAACATGTTTCATTTGTCAAGGTTATTTTAGAATATCAAAAGAATCAGATCTAATATTATAAAAGAGGTATTTTTTAAATCTTGTATTGCAAAGAAGAATCAAATAGAATTTATTATTATAGCTGGACTGAAACTGTTCCACAATTTTTACTGGTCAGTAACCTTGTATATATAGTACTCATCTAGTACAGATGACGGCAAACAAGGGATAAATCTGTCACTTATGATGATCATCAATTTTTTCCTTTTGTAGTTGAGATATTTATAAACGCTACATGCTGTTAAAGATACTTGTTTTGGTCATTATAACCAATGTCCTTGGTGTTATCACCTCTTGATCATACTAACAACGTTCAAGGCTGTGCCATTCAAAATGTTTAAAGTTCAAATACGAAATGCGTGATTTCGAATGCAGCATCAGTATGGCGTACGTGTGTACGATGCTGAATAAGATTTCCATAGACATTCTTATCCCATAGAAAAACAAGAATGCCCTTTGAAACAAACTGGGCAAGCAAAAAGAATAAAGGTTTTGGCTTTTAATCGTATAACAATATCTATGTTCTGGTACTGTAAAACCATGTGAAACATCATTTTATTTTGGTAGGAAAAAATAAATATATTGTTCAACAGACCATTGTACGTGTGCAAAATCGGTCGAATATCTGGCAATTGTTCCTTATTCAATTCATGGACTAACATTTATATTACCGATATATTTTTATAACTTTTTTATCTTTTACGGTTTGGTGTACTTTGTGTCTTGTTTAATGAGCAGGTCTTCAAATGCGTTCTATCGAATTTTGCATAGTCTATTTAGACTCATGGGTAGTTCGTTTATTGATTTTGTCTAAAGAAGTTTGATAAACAGGTTTGCAAAAATATTAATTGTATATGTCAAAACCATGCGGTAATGGTTAATTTTTGTTCCTGTGTTGAAGACATAAAATAGTTATTTCAGTAAAATAACAATATCTCTTGTAGCAGAATTAAATATCGACCTTCTTGGGTTATTAGAACAATATCTGCTATTTAAAACCCTATCCTGACCTCAAATTATATATCTTTTGATCCCGTTGTTTATTTATGATGTTTCTCTTGTCAAGGCTGATCATATCTAACATTGGAATGACCTTTTACATAACAAAATACGTACGCGTTCCTAAATAATATTGCTGAGTATGTATATGTTATAATGCATTTCAGACAGAACATGCATAAGACTAGTAAACAAATAGACCAACTTTACATTTGAAAACTAATAAGCATGATTTTTTTTTAGTATTTGATGTTGATTGAATTGAAAGTTTTTGTTTAATTTGTTTAAACTATTCTTTGTGGTTTATAGCTTTTCATATTTTGTAAGAGATTGTGTCAATTTTTTAAGACTATATGTTGACCTAGATTTCTTTTAAATTGGTTATTTGTGTCGTTGGGTTGGTGACATATTGACGTATACCCCACATCTCCTTTTTGTAATGACAGTAGGTTGAAATTTTAGACAAGCTGACAGATCATGAACTGCACATTATCTCAATTTTTTTTATGAATGAATTTAAGTTAAAAATCAGCAATGTCATTAATATTCTTTTAAATATTTTAGTGTAAACATCAACAGGGTCACTGAGCTTTCTTCATGTAAATTTTGTAATAATTTGTACTTTCAAAATACATGAATAGTCCTGAAATATCTTAAATGAAAGGAAGTATGGATCTTTTTTCTCACAAACATCAAAATAGCGAACACTTTACGTTAATTTATTACAATAAGATTGTTTCAGTAAAATAAATGTCAGTTAAATTTGCATGTAGATTAATTTAATGCATTACATTACTTCTGTGTATCGCATAACATTCAATCGGAACATTTAACTCCTTGCGATTTCGAAGACATGATCTTTCTTTTTTTTCTTTTATTTTCATCATGTCTCATTTTTCCGATTTTTGAAAGAATATGGTACGTATTTTTCCATTATCGATAGGTAGTATAGTTTTTGTCGTGCATTTCATATTTAAAGTCTGCGTTTTGTTTCTCGTGTATCAAATCATGCTCAACAAACTGCTATGCCAAATCACCTTCCGTATAAACAGCTTTTAAAAAGTATTTAATATCACTGTCTAATCAACACAAGTCATGCATTGGATGATCTTGCATTGGTTATGCAAACAGAAAAATAAAATAAAAGATCATGTTTCAATTTAGACCCTTAGATTCAAGCATAGTATTGCGCTTGAACTGATTTTATATAAAGTGATGAGGCGATGTAAGACAGAAAACAAACATTTAAACAACGCTATAAATTATGTTCTTACAGGACAACGCTTGTCACATTCCACCCTGAAAACTCAAAGTGTTGCGTTAAACCAGGTTTAAGAATACAAAAGTAGAAAGTAATATAAAATTAAAAGACTCTACCACTCAGGTTCTAAAAGTACCTGTTGGGATCTACCGCAGGAATTCTCAGTTTTCAAAATTCATACTTGTCTGGGCTCTACCACTCAGGTTCTAAAAGTACCTGTTGGGATCTACCGCAGGTATTCTCATTTTTCAAATTTATACCTGTCTGGGTTCTACCAGTCAGGTTCTAAAATAAATTTTTCACCTGTCAGGGCTCTACTGCAGGTTCTTAAAATTGCATAATTTAGGCATTTTATTTTTTAATTAATTTAAAATTATGTTGAGTAGGTAATGTTTTTGATTTGATTATTTTAATTAGTATTATTGTAAGTTTTAATGAGTAGCCCCCTAGAAAGCCAAATAATACATTTATTTTTATTTTCATATGTATTCCGTATAATAGATTTAGAACTGATTGTGAATATGATACTAGTATACTGTGTATACAATGGTGTCTTAGTATATTAGTTTGTTAATAAAATTAGAATAGTTATTATAAAGTTTTGCGTATGATATCAAGTATCCAGTATGGCAGGATAAGTGTTCCATTCAAGTAGAACATTTCCTTTTCTACTCGTAGTATCTATATTAGTATAGATAAATGTGGTATGATAAAAATATATAACAAATAAGTGCAAGCCGGACAAACAAACATTGTTAATAAATAAGAAACCATGGTTTCGTCTGTTTTCTGCGACTTATGTTTTTTTTAAATTTTTCTTTGGTATTCTCCATTTAATTAATGAACGTGTTATTCCCTTTTTTCAAATAATAAAATAACCATAATCGATATGATATTAAATCCTGTCAACACTTATATTGATATTTTATCATGTTGTACATTAGTAAATACTGTAAACGTATAAATAATCTTTGTTGCAAAATCTACATGTACATTGAACATGACAATACAAGCCCACACGGACCGGAAACAACTTATTCGGATGTTATTATTAGGCAGTCCGTTGCTGGAGTTCTAGAAAGACAGAAGTTTAATACTGTATTTCCAAATCTTTTTAATTAAACACATGTTTCTAACACCTTTATCTTATATCCCATTATTTTATAATACGTTCTGTTATTTACCTTAGAGTTTATTATCAACGTTAACTAGTTTGCTCTGAAACACTGTCCTAACACATATATAGTTCGTATCTTCTCACCTTTTACTTGTGCTATGAATGCACAACGGTTGAACATTGCAGGTTCAATTGATAATCTTTTCTCAAAGCGAGGTTAAAGGAGCTGCGCGTAAGGATATCGTTTTATGGTATTTTATCCCTTGGCTGTGATAAATCCGTGTTCATCGTCCGAAAACACGTTTTAAAATGCTTGCTGTCTTCTTTCTGTATTTAATTGAAGCTAAAACAACACTTTCTAAAACATTTTTCATTCCGGTTTGTGCAGCAGCTGAACATTTATTATAATATTCAGCACCGATAAGTTTGGTCATGTGTTGTCCTTCTAAGTCAGAAACATGTTGAATGTTATCTTCATCACGAATGTCACTCTGGGTTGCCACTAAGATAACTGGCCTCCTTTTGTTGAATTTACGAATTTCTTGTATCCAGAATGACTGCACATTGTTAAAAGTTTCTCTCTCTACTACACTATAGCAGACGATAATGACATCAGTATCAGAAATCATTTGTGATCGAGTGTTTTCATCTTCATGCTGCATAGAAAAAAAATTTGAAAAAAGTATAATATTGCGTTTTAAAAGGAGCAAACATATGTATACCGTATTAAAATTCAATTGACTCCGGTTTTAATTTTATAAAAATTTCAATAAAAAAAAATCCGTGTAAAATTAAGAAAATTCATACCTGACCATTTGTATCTTTTATATCCACACTGTACAGGTCACCGTAAGCAGATACATAACCTGTATAGCTCTCGGCTACAGTAGCTACATAACAATCAGGGAACGAGTCACCAGCAAATGCTTTGGCCATGCATGTTTTACCTATAAGTCCATCACCAACAATTGTGCAAGATACATCATGACTGAAGCAAACCATCTTGACTTCTCGATAAGCGTTTATTAACAAGGCTATGACAATAATGATTATCAGCTATTAATTTAAACTTTTTATATACAATTACTAATTGCCTGATTGAACTCTATTGTTTACAAAAATCTCCTGCTAAGTGAAATCACATTATTTTCTATTGTTTTATCTTGTCAATATACATTGTATATAGTAACCCCCTGGAGTTTCTAGCCAGTATGTCGTAGTGCCTGCTTGTGGACATGAAAATTTAGACTCCCTGCTTGTCCTTATTTTGGAGCAAGGTGTTAATTAGAAAAACATTAGTTTTTTTAAGAAGTTTGAAAGAATTAATCAAATTTGAAATTATCTTTATTGCATGTAAAAAAAAGTTGTGTATACAGATTAAACATTTTCCATATAGGAAATCGCCGTGGGCTAATATGGGAGTCTCGGGATAATATCCGGACCGATATGCAAAATATCAGATATTAAATTGTTTATCACATGCTTCTACTAAACGTCAACGCTCTGGTTGATAACCTAATATCAGCGCCGCCACTTAAAAACAGGACGGATGGGTTGATATGGGACTTTGTTTGTCTTTTTCTTTTATAGCCATGGTGTTATCAGTTTATTTTCGACTCATGAGTTTGAATGTCCCTTTGGTATCTTTCGCCTATCTTTTGGAAACGTTATTTAACAGTGATAATTTTGATAAATGCAATTCGTCGTCAGTTTTATTACATTTTCAAAACTGGACAATGTTCGCATTTGATAAATGAATTTATTATACTTCATGTCAAAATGCCAGATTTTGATTGGTTAATACGAGGGAGACAATTTACTCTACCCTATAGTAAATACTCTATTACCCTTCACGGAGACGCTTGATCAAGTGTGCGCTTTATTAAATACGGACGGTTGTTATGTACAAGACGTCATAGTTTATTACTTTGAATTTGAAATTTAATAGACAGTAAAAACAGAAAATTCAGTATAATAAATTAAATAGCACATATCTGAGAGGGAGATAGAGCAGATTGTTACCCCTCGAAAAGGTAATTGTCAACCTTGGCTTCGCCTAAGTTGACAATGTTTTCTCGGGGTAACAATCTTCTCTATCCCCCTCTCAGCTATGTGTTATTTATATAATAGCACTCAATAGGTCCAAACATGTATTATAAGGAATGAAGTCAATCTCTATTTAAACTTGGACGTTCAAGTCTTATGTTAGATAAGAAGTAAGAGACTACACCATGAGATTCCTTGCCAAAAAAATGTGATGAGTTCTAAGCTTATTTTTTTTTATATAAAACGGGCCACAAAGTTGTATTGTTCCTTATTGATGCTTAACTGTAAATGTCCGTAAAGGTAATGTATAAAACAAAAATCAAGATATACACAATTTATAACCTACGTGGAAATTTTGTAAAATTTAAAATTAAGAATGCAAACAGAAAAAAAAACAATAAAGAAGGAACTTAAACCGAAAAGCTAAAAACCGCTGTAAGTCACCTGCTGGTAATTGTGATGAACATTTGTTTTAGTAAGCTTTAGAAGTATTGACTTGTTATGTAGGTTTAACAGTTTTTTTTATCTCAGTTACATCACATGCGTTGTAAAACAACCTGTTTTGTAAGTTATTTGCGAGAAAGAATTTGGTGACAGTGTACTTTAAGTTATTTTAGTACACCAAAAAAAAAAAAAAAAAAACCCACAAAAACAAAGGACAACTAACTGGTTGTTTAAGTCATATTTAAATCTGTCTTTTTGAGAATGTAATATCTGTATTTAGATTTGCATTACTAAAGTTTTAATCTTTAAGAGTTTGTACGTGTATGTTACTTTGATGTTTTTTTGCGAATCTAATTTACAAATTGACATAATTATCATATATTTTTATAAATAAAAACACTATATGTACTTCTAATTTTTTTTAATATTCATTATACGTAAACAATTGATACATTATATTTTTTTACATATTCAATTCATTGTCACTTCGATTATAATTTGAAAGAGTTCTGTTTGTCATGCAATATTCAATATTCATAAAACATCATCAGTGTCAGTTTCAGACAGCTGACAATCGTTGTAAGTGTCAATTGTTATACTAAAGTTCATCATGTCTTATTTATTTCACAATGTTTGTTCGAATTTGATCCATTACGGCGTAATGATCTATATAATTGTCACTGTGCGCATATTTCAATAGTATGGTAGTATCGACTTCATCTATGCACTCTGCTTCGTATTGCAAATGTACGCCGGTAGTACAATGCATACAGAAGAGGATTTGAATTATCAAGCTTCAATCTATCTTCATACTGATTTCTGTTCATATTTATGTTATTCAACTCTGGGGGGAGAGAATTCTGCAGTTTTTCATCGTGCGAAAACTCGTTTCAGTACATTTGTCTTCTTCTTGCGGTATCTAATGACGGCACAAACAACACTTTCAAAGACATTTTTGACTCCGTCATTAGTAGCGGAAGAACATTTGTTGTAGTATTCAGCATTTATTGATTTCATTAAATTCTGTCCCTCAATGTCGGAAACGTGATCAATGTTATTTTCATTACGAATGTCACTTTGAGTTGCCACTAAAACAATCGGCTTTTTCTTGTGAAGTTTTCTAACCTCTGGAACCCAGACGGATTTGGCATTCTCAAATGATTCCCTGTCAACTGAACTATAGCATACAATGATAACGTCAGCGTCTGTAATTGATTGTAATCTTGTTGATTTTTCCTCTTGCTGAAAAGATAAAATGAAAGAATGATAAGTAAACGAAAAAATAAAATATCTTCAATTTATTTCATTTATACTCTAAAGGCATGTTTGTAATTTATGTTTGTGTAAATAAAATTGAATATTCCGCTTAATTTAATTAAATCTAAATAAATATCAAGTTCTATTTATAGAGAATTGAAAAGATTCTTATAAAATACTATGTAACAAATCAATTTTTACCTCATGAATATTCAAACTGTATTTGTCACCATAAGCAGACACAGATCCACTGGTTGTTTCTGCAATTGTAGCCACATATTTATCAGAGAACTGGCTTCCGGCAAATCTTTTAGTAAGGCATGTCTTGCCAACCATTCCGTCACCAATAATTTCACAGGAAACAGTATTCTGGTAGCAAACCATTCTTTCCGATCTCTTTTCAAATCTTTAAACGTTAAAGTAAGTAGAAAAAGTGTTATGCCAGAATGTAAAATCTTCAGCTCTTTTATAAATACCGAGTCGTTTGCCTGGGTAAATCCATTGTTAATTAAGATCTCCTGCAAAGTGAAGATTCCGTTGTTAAAAACTGTCAATACTGGGTGATCAAATTTACCCCCAAGTATTACAACCAAGGTGACTCTATCGCTGCTTGTGGTTGAAATACGAAACTTTATTCTTGTTTTATTTTTAGCCCTTTTTATCTCATTGAAGTTAAAAAGAAAAAAAAAACTTTGTTAACTTCATGTTATTGAATATTCTGATGTTGTTTTTTTGTTGTTGTTTTGTTTTGATATTTGATAGTTTTTAAACTCTACACAGAAAAATACTATACGTTATCAGTACACAGTTAATACAGAGAAAACAGGAATAACAAATAGGAATATTATTTAATAACTGACTTTGCTTACTGTACGGTATGACTATTTTAATTATTTATATCCTTATCCTTTGGTCCCCAGGTGGATAGTTGTGTCATTGGCAATCATATCACGTCTACATTATTCTTATATTGTTAGTAAACCTTTGTAACTCATGTTTAATTAACGCCATCAGTGGGTCATCGCATTTTACATTTTGTTGACCAAAGAGACAACTCTTGCAAATTGTAATTACATTTTAGTAAGATATTTGAAAAGATAGATTTATGTATTTCCTTTTGGAAAAGTGAATAACAGATATAGTTTAGAAAGTTCTACCTCTCTCAAGAACTGTCAAAATAATCTTTCATAGAACTATTCAGATTAGTTCTAGTTGACACCATCAAGGGAAACTAGATAACAGTTTAAGATCGAGTAAAGAATAACTTTTTATCATACTTCCATAAGGTTAAAAGTGACCACAAATATAAAATGACTATAGCCGAGACAATTGATTACTATTGGACATAGTTAAGAATTGGATAGGATCGGATATTTACATAGTCATTGACCATATACAGACCCACGAGGAATCTTTGGACGAAATAATATACATGAACAGCTATTTTATAGAACTCAGGACATAAGTGTCCTTTACACAGATTTTATAATTTTTATAAACAATACATTGATACAAAAAATGTGTACTCTAAATATTCCAGCTCATTCATTTCGGCACACTCTTCAATCTTTATGGGGGTAAATATGCATTGTAAACTCGCCTTTGTTTTGAAAAATATATACACATTAGGCCAACAGAAAGGTATCATATTTATTGTTTTGATTTTGAACAAAAGAATCTATTCCCTGCAGAGATATTATAATTGCAGTAATATGAGGCGTTCAGGTGGTAGTACATTGTCAAGATTTGGAGCATATGGGATATACAGTTGCTATAATAAGCAACTTCATTTCCTCTATATAAAAAGCATGAAACATTTTGCTTTTTTTCATTTCAAAACCAGTGCCTCGAATAGCGTAGTTCGGAGTAAATTTGATGTAATTTTTTATAAGCAAGTGTTCTTTGTACACAATTGTGAGCGTAATTACAGTGCTAGTTGGAATGTAGTGATATACATTTAAATGCGTCAAGTTTTTGGATATAATAAAAGTGGAAGTATTTAAATATTCTTTTTATTCAACGGCAAAAGTGTAACAGTTGACAGATATTTTCATAAATTGGATTTTATTAATTGGTTTTTGACATGGTTTAAGGCTGAATATACATATTGATAGAACAATGTATTTTTTATAGTTTTTTTCAAAATTGTTATTTGATGTATTTGCATTCAGTAAAATTTAAACAGTTCTCAATTTAGAATTCTTATCGGCGATATTGCAGATTTATGTGTTAATGTGTTCTAATGGCTGGTTAAAATGTGAGTGTTCTCTAGTTATGTTCATTTCCATTTAAAAGAAAAACAGATAAAATGTGTTACCTCTTTCAGCTGCATTTGGAAATTTTCAAAAGCGTTTGATAACACAAATGTTCTATGCACATTAGGAACAAGGTGCTTTCTAGGTGAACTACAGGGTAAATTCAAAACGGGGAACCATGACAACATCCAACTTTAGGATATATCAACCAAAGGAACGCATATGCGTAAAAACAACTGCCATAACCTGACTTGGTACAGGCACTAATGTCAAAGTTCACATATCAAAAAGGTTAATGGTTCATATAAAGAACAAATATTATATTTCAAATAATTCTCATTGCAGGACAGAAACTGCTGAGTTCAGCCTTCTTTAAAATGCTGTTCATGTTTCATTTTCTGTGTAGAGTCTTAAACTGTTGTGGTTTTTGTCATGGGTTTGTCTGTCTTTTGCGACTACTGGTTTGAAATTGTTCCCTTGGTATTTTCTATCCTTTTTTCCATGTCAGACAATGTATGTTGAAGATATAATGTTTATTGCCCGAGTAACTTTGTATGAACTTATCATTCCTCTTGAATGTTAACCATTTGTAATGCTCAATGGTACTTTATATTTATTAGATACTATCATATAATAAAATTTTAATAGATATTTTGGTTATTTAAATTCTATTTATCAACCGAATTTTATGTTTTTGGCTAATTATTGATATCTCTGGATTGAAAAAAGGTATTTATAGGCTATTTTTTTTTCGATAAAAAAGACAACAAACATATGAATACCATTACAATGTTTTATGTATGCTGTGTTATGTTACCAATTCAAAGTTTTCCTACTCTTTCAAGTTTTCATATTTTTAATATTGTAATCAACAACTGCATCCGAGATTGAATTCGTTTGAAAATTTACCTGTATCATAATGTATACTCTCGCTTTACATATTTGTTTATTTGCAATGAAATTGACTAACTGAAATTAAAGCTAAATGTGTTGTTTTGAATTTAAAAAAAAATGATAAAGGGATAAAAACAGAAAACATAAGACATAAAAAAAACCTTCTTTGCTAACATATTGATATATTTATTAATGTTAAACGCCACTTTCAGCACTCGAACGCAAACCTCAGCGTTGATACGCTAGTGAACAATGTAGATGAATATTTGGAATCTCAGAATGGTCGAGTAAAAATATAGAAATAGGAATAGGAATGGAAATATTAATTTATAAAAGGTTCAGAATTATCTATTTTTACTCCCTAAACACGAAAAATGATAATCAACAGTTATTTTGTGTATCCTTGACTATTATAATTATTATTGTTCGTTTTTACAATGAATTGTTGACATCTAGAAATTCCTAGTTAACGAAATTCCAAATGACAATTCAGGTTTTCCTAAGACTTATGTGCAAATTCATTGACTTAAGATGTCTGAATATTTCACAAAAAAACATTGACGTCGAACACATCTAAATAAGTAATCTTTTTGAATTATTATAATGAAAATAAATGATGTGTAGGTTGACTATTTATTTTGGCTTAAATAGAATCCATTTATTTAGTTCTTATGTCTATCGAACACTCCTTTTGCTGTTCCATTCATGTTTTTTACTTATTGTACAATGATAGCGATATTTCTGTTTTTTGATTTTACACGAACTTAATTACTATTTAGGCATGGTTAAATTGAAAAGGTAACACTGCAATTTTCTAGAATCATTCGATCAAATTGAAAAACAATATTCAAGACCCTTTATTTGCAATTTCAACATAAAATAAACATTCACAAGTATCTCTGGATAAATAATAACTTAAATGCATTTACCTCTTGCTTTTGTTTGAGTGTGTGTCATATCAGTTTCAAAAGTTCATCTTTAAGAATAATCTTTACTTACTTGTATTTGGTCGTATTTTAGGTCGTTGACCTTGGATGGATTTGGCTATTTCTTTTGGGTATTTTTGTCGTCTGGCTCTTCAGCTGTTTTGGTATTTGTACATCCCCTGATTTCGGATGTTTGGTTTTGGGCGTTCCTGATGAGGGTGGGCCCAGAGGGGCGCTTCGGACGCATTGAATTATTGAACGTGTTGTTTTCAATTTTTTGAGTAGGAGGCAACAATAGTTTACAGTTATCAAAACTCATAAATATATTTTGAAAACACAAAGAAAGAGAAAAAGCTAGGCGAAAGATACCAAAGGGAAATTCAAACTCATAAGTCGAAAATAAACTTACAACGCCATGGCTTAAAAAGAAAAAGACCAACAGACAAACAACAGTACACAAAAAACAACATAGAAAACTAAAGACTGAGCAACACGAACCTCCCAAAAAACTTGGGGTGATATCAGGTGCTCCGGAAGGGTAAGTAGGTCCCGCTTCACATGTGATACCCGTCGTGTAGCTCATGTTAGTACAAACCCGGTGATAAGTCTAATTCGGTAGGTCACATTAGGGAAAAAGGGGAAAAGGGTGAAACCGGATGCGTATTGATTTACATCTAATATATTTGGTCTCTGGTTAATAGTTGTCTCCTTAGCTTTCATACCACATCTGCTTTTTATTTCATTTTTGTTGAAATATCAATTAACTGAATACGACTAATAAAATGGCGATCAAAAAGTTTAGTTTTTTGTTGATATCTCCTTTGGTAATTTTTGGGGTTAAAATCAGTATAGTTCTTCTAAAAGATTTTTCGTAAAACAAGAAATTTGTATCTACAACTTTAATTGATACAATATACAAGGGTCTGAGTTTTAACGTAAAAAGAATCTAAAATATAGGAAGGCTGCTAAAAAACTCCTCAAGGATACCATGCTTGTAATTTGTTACGCCAGACGTGCGTTTCGTTTACATAAGGCTCGTGAGTGGCGCTCGAATTAAATCAGTTGGAAGGCCTTATCAAAAAGAATGTTGACGGCATAGAAAACCAAATAACGAAAATGTAACCAAAAATACGGACATATGACTGGAGTAGAAAATCCTAAGTGTTTCACGTTAAAAAAAAATAGTGAGCAGAACATTTAATGAAATTGACCGTATCATTGATATTTCACGCCAAGCAGTGGCATTGACCCAGTGATTTCATTGAACTCATCAATGATAACAGGCTAATAATTTATTTAAACGAGATTATTATTGTCATAGCCATGATTCTAAATGTCTTCTCGCTATTAGAACATCACAGAATGTGACTTATCAGCTGGTATTCGTTTATCATGAGCAACACCATTGGTCCCGTAAGTTGAGCAGAATATGATTACCGTTGTAGAGTACCTGAGTATACACAAGGTTTTTGTAGTGATAAGAATTTGTGTATATTAACGTATCTTTCATAATAATATCACAAGAAAGAATGTTTAAAACAACAATTATTAGTATTTAGAAGTTCAATCACTACAAAAGATATAATTTTTATGTTTGTGAATGATACTTGTACTAGCACTAATATTATCAACAGTTCAAGTATGTAATTGTAAACAGAATTAGAAACTAAACTATCAAACAATGAAATAAATAAAACAATATCAATTTACACACCACAAGCAGTGAAATAGTCATATAGGTAGAACTCCAGGGGGCTAATGTGATTACATTTATGGGAATTTAAAAACAATAGAATTGTCACTTTGCAGGAGATATCTTATCAAACAATAGAGGAAACGGAGCGACCAACTTGGGTTCTATAAAAGGCAGGCGATTGTAAGCTTTTTTCATAACACATTTGTTGATTTATAACACTGACGAGGACCAATCTTAGTATATCTCAAAATGGTTTGCTACCAGAACACTGTTTCTTGTGCCATTGTTGGTGATGGAATGGTTGGAAAGACCTGCCTTACTAAAAGATTTGCTGGAAGCCAATTCTCAGACAAATATGTTGCTACAGTTGCAGAAACGTCCACTGGATCTGTGTCTGCTTACGGCGACAAATACAGCGTCAATATCTATGAGGTAAATATATTTCTTTTTATATAAAAAGATAATATTTGTGATTGATAAGTTAAAAATATATCGAAATATTAAAGATAAGAAATTTAAAACCAAGCTTAGCTTTTTCACGAAACTTAATATCTACATTATTAGCAACTTACTTATGATTGTTTTCTTTATATTTTTAGCATGAAAATCAGTCAGCAAGATCAAAAACAATAACAGAATCTGATGTCATAGTGGTATGCTACAGTGCAGTTGACAAAGAATCATTTGAAAACGTCAAATCTTTTTGGATTCCAATGGTCAGAAAACTCAATAAGAAGAAACCAATTGTTTTAGTCGCTACCCATAGTGACATGCGTGATGAAAATAATACCGACCATGTATCAGACTCTGAAGGACAAAACTTTATGAAATCAATAAATGCTGACTATTACAACAAATGTTCTGCTGCTACAAATGAGGGAGTAAAGAATGTCTTCGAAAGTGTCGTCTATTAGACATAGAAAGAAGAAAACCAATGTGCTTAAACGTGTTTTCGCACGATGAACTTGAACTTATCTCTGCCCTGAGATAAACCTATATTTTACACATCTTGAACTGTGTTTAGAATAGCAAAATACTTGCTGTAAAAAGACATTGAGATAGGAGGAGTTGGAGATGGAATGTACCACTGGTGTACATTCCAAAGACGGATTGAAATACTGCTGTCACATTACAGTGATTGTAACGGAGAATAAGCAGTTCCCGTGATGTTCAAGAGCACAAACTTAGAAAAACAATATGAAATCAGTTATGATGATGAACTTAAAGAGAAAAGGACTCATTTAGTGAAAAGACACAAACAATACATGTATGATATTGGAAACATTATAACAATAATTACTTTAAAATTATCTTACATAAAAAATATTTGTTCTGTTAACTTTGTACTTAATGAAGGAATGTCATGTAAAAATTGTTACAATCAGTAAATGTTTTATCCAAATGGATGGAAAGTATACATTGTTAAACAAAATATAAATGCTATTGGGTAACACGTTTAAATCTAAAAGCAAATAAGAACACATCTTAAGATACAACACATTGATAAAATAGAGACAACATCATGAATACTACTACTCAGGGGGAAAAAGATGAAAAGACAAACAAAAGTCCACAAAAAAATTACAGCGTTAAATAAAGGTTGAGGAGGTTATAGTTATCGTGTGTGGTCCCATATAAAACAAATTCGTAGTCATGATGTCCTAGTTTTTATAATGTTCAATTAGTTGTACAGCACACTTTCAACGCAAGTTTTAAAATTATACAATTTTTTTCAAGACCAATGTCAAATGTTCATGAATTAGGAATTAAAAAAGAGTCAAAGGATACGAAGGGGATATTCAAAACTTATAATTAGAGGAGAAACTTACAACAACATGGCAAAAAACGAACAAAAGACAGAAAGACAAGTCAACAAAACATTGCATAGAAACCTAGAGATTAACCAACACGAACCCTAACCAAAAAATAGGGGGTGATCTCAACTTATGTTTATCCGACTTGTATCAGTCTTTTATCTGTCTGTACCAGGATTCCTTAATGACATGGGTATACTTTCATCTTATATTACATTTGTGTAGTCATATATCAGTGATTGCGCTCATTAAAAATCATGAAATATTTGTTGTGAAAATCTCATTAGAAGCGACCAAACTTTAATATGAAGTACTAGTACCACTCCGAAATAGAAAATTGGAAATTTGGAAGCTGAAATTATCACGTTGTGTGTTCTTTTGTCAAAAAATATCAACCGAGAGGTGTTTGTGTAGGTAAGATGCTTGTCTCGTCTTGTCGCAGTGGTTATTTGTTGGTTCAATTTCTCTATATATTGAACAGAAAATGGAAAGAAGGAGTTTCCTCCAGATTTTTCTTAAAAGTCCATGTATAAATTTTTACCGTTCTTCAGTGTTTATGTGCACTTCTATAACGCACGATAACAAAGCAACGTAATCTTTGCAAAGTGATATGTATTATTTATAGAAAACTGCTAAATGCCTCAAATACTATATTATTTTAATCAATCTGATATACAAGCCCCATAAGACAAGATACATTTTACGACATGTTTTTTTTTTCTTTTTTTGCCATGGCGTTGTCATTTTATTTTCGAATTGTGAGTTTGGATGTCCTTTTTGTATCTTTCGCCTCTCTTTGTTGTTGCCTCTTTATAATTTTTATTAACGTGATACTTGTAATCAATGTTGTTTTTTTTACGTTGATCTGAGGAAATATATTTTTTGTATCTTGTTTTCTATTGTTGTATTTTGTTATACAATATTGGTTTGAATATCCGCTTCGTATCTTTTTCCTCTTTTTTTATCCCTAATACATGAACATTTGACATTGTATGAAATTGTATGATTTAAAAACTAGCGTTGAAAGTGTGCTGTACAACTAATTTGAACATGATAAAAACTAGTAGATAATGACTAGAAATTGCTTAACCATTGGGACAATACACGATCACTTTATCTCCTCAACCTTTATTTTACGCTGTAATTTTTTTGTGGAGTTTTATTTGTCTTTTCATCTTTTTTTCCCCTAAGTAGTAGTATTCATGATGTTGTCTCTATTTTATCAATGTGTTGTATCCCATGATGTGTTCTTATTTGCTTTTAGATTTAAACGTGTTACTCACTAGTATTTATATTTTGTTTAACAATGTATACTTTCCATCCATTTGTATCAAAAGTTTACTAATTGTATCAATTTTTACATGTCATTCCTTCATTAAGTACATAGTTAAAAGAACAAATATTTTTTTATGTAAGATAATTTATTTTTTTTATAACATGAATTAAAGTAATATCTGTTATTATTTTTACAATAATATACAAGTATTCTTGTGTCTTTTCACTAAATTAGTTATGTTCTCCTAAAGTTCATCATCATAACTGATTTCATATTGTTTTTTAAGTTTGTGTCCTTGAACAGCACGGGAACTACTTATTCTCCGTTTCAATCACTGTAATGCGACAGCAGTATTTCAATCCGTCTTTGGAATGTACACCAGTGGTACATTCCATCTCCAACTCCTTCTATCTCAATGTCTTTTTACAGCAAGTATTTTGCTATTCTAAACACAGTTCAAGATGTGTAAAATATAGGTTTATCTCCGGGCAGAGATAAGTTCAAGTTCATCGTGCGAAAACACGTTTAAGCACATTGGTTTTCTTTTTTCTATATCTAATAGCGGCGCAGACGACACTTTCGAAGACATTCTTTACTCCCTCATTTTTAGCAGCAGAACATTTGTTGTAATAGTCAGCATTTATTGATTTCATGAAGTTTTGTCCTTCAGAGTCTGACACATGGTCGGTATTATTTTCATCACGCATGTCACTATGTGTAGCAACTAAAACAATTGGTTTCTTCTTATTGAGTTTTCTGACCATTGGAATCCAAAAAGATTTGACGTTTTCAAATGATTCTTTGTCAACTGCACTGTAGCACACAACAATGACGTCAGATTCTGTTATTGTTTTTGATCTTGATGATTGATCTTCAAGCTGAAAAGATAAAGAGAATAATCATAAGTAATTTCATAATAATGTGGATATTCAGATTCGGGAAAAAGCTAACATTGGTTTCATATTTGTCTTTCAAAATATGATTCAATAAGTAGTTAATTAATTAACTTTTGATATCTAGTTGTTGAAAAATTTAAAATTGGTTTTAAACTTCACATTTCATCTATTCATAATTACTGAATTAAAAATACATTTTTTTTATTAAAAAGATAGATATTTACCTCATAGATATTGACGCTGTATTTGTCACCGTACGCAGATACAGATCCAGTGGATGTTTCTGCAACTGTAGCAACATATTTGTCTGAGAATTGGCCTCCAGCAAATCTTTTAGCAAGGCAAGTCTTGCCAACCATTCCATCACCAACAACGGCACAGGAAACAGTGTTCTCGTAGCAAACCATGTTTTCAAATTCCTTTTTAAAATCTTTTCGTTTGTTAGAAGTAAGTAGAAAAGTGATATGCCAAATGTAAAATCTTCAGCCCTTTTATAGATCCCGAGTCTATTGCTTGGATAAATCCATTGTTAATAAAGATCTCCTACTAAGTGAAGATTCCATTGTTTATAATTGGCAACCCTGTGTGATCAAAAATACCCCCAAGTGTTTCAACCTAGATAGCTCTCTCACTGCTTGTAGCCGAAATATGAACCTTTTTTATTGTTTATTTCTAGCATTTTTTTCTTGCATTTTTAGCTAACAGGAAATAATTCTTTGTTAACTTCATGTTATTGAATATTATGATGTTGTTTAGTTTTCTTTGTTTTGATATTTGATAGTTTGTGAACTAGATGCAATAAAACATTGTGTATAACCAACACAAAACTAGATACTCTTTAATCCTGAAGTTTGGAAAAATATATCAGACTTATAACTCATATGTAAAGTTTGTAGTTGATTTTTTTTATACATCAAATGATGGGTCTTCACATACCGCATGCTTTTATTAAAAATTACAATAGGCTGTCAAAGGTGAAAACCCTTGCAAACCAGGAAAAACTTATTACTTTAAGAATTTTATTCAATATTTTTATATTTCATTTTTATTAGATGCTTAAACGTTCTCCTTATAATCTATTGCTCATTCACGATTTGAAAATAGTAAAAAAACAGTAGATGATTTTACAGTGAATGAGTATGGCAAAGTCTCTTTATTACCATCTGGAATAGTTACGAATTGGAAGATTATCAAGAAGCCTTTGACTCAAGAATATAGTCATGAAAGAAGAAATAATATATTCGAAGTTTGGACACAAATGCCTAAGCAACAGATGAAAGATTTTCTTTAAACAATTTATTAATATGAAAATGATGACTCTCTTACTATACTAGTAGTTAATACATATTTTGGCTTGCACTTCAAACATCGAGTGGGTATCTATTCATTGTAAACTTCCCTTTGTTTTATATGATTGTATCAGGCACACAGAAAGCTATCAAATGGATTGTTTTGATTTTGAACAAAGAAACATATTCCCTACTGAGATATTACAATAGGAGTAACATGAGGCGTCCAGGTGGTAATATTGTCAAGATTAGGGGCATTTTATGATATTTATATGTAATGGAACTTGATTTCGTCTATATATAAAGCTTTAACATTTTGCTTTTTTATTCCAAAAAAACAGTTTCTCTAAGAAAGCAGTTTGGAAGTAAATTGTATGTCATTTTTTGGATTAACAAGTGTATTTTGTACAGTCTTGTGTGTGCGTAATTAAAATGCTACAATGAATTTGGAGATGTAAATATGATTTCATCAAATTAATTCTCGATGATTTGGATATAAAACTAACGAAAAATGTTAATATTCTTAACATTAAAATAAGGAAATTTACAGTGCAGAAGTGATACAGTACACATATTTTTTTTCTTCAATTGGGTTTTATCAATTGATTTCCACATGACTTTATGACTTTATTCGCATATTCTAGACAATTTTGTAAATGTATCCAATGCATGAAAAATAATTGTTAATTTCTCATATTTGTTATCTAAATTGTCTTGTGGTACATTTGCTTGCAGTAACATTCAACTATTTAAAAAAAAATATAATTCTTTTTGAATTTACAGTGGCTTCAATTTTACATTTAATGCTGAAGTGTTGGCGTTAATGGGCTCTAGAAATAGGTCTAAGTGTATTGTGTGCCTTTATTGGAACGATCATTGCCAATTTAATGAAAACAGAAAATTTATGTCACCCTTTAAAGCTGCATTGGTTAGAATTTCAATGGAAAATGAACTTGGGTCATAATGTATATCCTTATTCAATGTATGTGTGTTTTTGCAATTGCATTGACACACTGAAATTTATGCAAAATTGGTTCTTCTGAACTTCATTACAAAAAATGATAATGGACTAAACACAACAGGTAAGGGTAAAAAATATTCTTCCGTGACGCCAAAATAGTCGATTATACA